AAAAGGCATCCAACTTGGTGAAAAGGTGATAAAACTATTGCTGTATGCAGATGATGTGATTGTTTACACTGAAAACTCTAAATATTCAACAAAAATTTATTAGACCTAAAACACCAGTTTAGTAGAGTGGCAGGATACAAAATCAACATACAAAAATAATTTCTCGCCCTTGACTGGCGGGGAGGGCCCAGTTGCACATCCCCTCCGCTCATGCTGAAGGGAGATGGCTCAGCAACTTGTCCTGAGGAGGTTCCTGGCCTCGGTCATCTCCTGGAAGCCGTCTCAGGGTCAGTGGGTACCCCTCACATCCAGGGCCCTACAGCTCCCACAGTGCTATCCTAATGGCCTGGCACCAACACCCAGCCCAACCTGGACAGTGCACGCTTTCGGAGCCTGCGCCACAACCTTTAACATCCAGGATGGCCCTGATTTTCAGGACCGAGTTGTCAACAGAGAAACACCAGTGGTTGTGGATTTCCATGCACAGTAGTGCGGGCCCTGCAATATCCTGGGGCCGAGGTTAGAGAAGATGGTGGCCAAGCAGCACAGAAAGGTGGTGATGGCCAAGGTGGACACTGACGACCACACAGACTTGGCCGTCGAGTATGAGGTGTCTGCTATGTCCACTGTGCTGGCCATCAAGAATGGAGATGTGGTGGACAAGTTTGTGGGCATCAAAGATGAGGGCCAGCTGGAGGCGTTCCTGAAGAAGCTGATTGGCTGACAAGCAGGTCTGTAATAGAGAACTTTAGGATCCCCTCTGCCTTCTGCTGTGAGGAACAGAACCTGGGCCCTGCTCTAAAATGACCTGGTCACCAGCACCCCTGCAGCCCTCCTCCTCCTCCCACCCTCCCTGGGAACAAGCCCTGGGCTGGGGCCCTGCAGACTCTTGGTTCTAGAAGGTTCCAAACACACTGCATTCCCTCGCCGTTTGCTGGCCCTTCGGTTCTCTGAGTGGGTGGCTGAACAGTGAGCAAATCGGGTGACTAAAATGAGAGTTTCCACTGTCAGAAAAAAATAAAAATAATAATAATTTCTCCACAGCAACAAAGAAAGCACGGAAAATACAACTAAGAAAGCAATACTATTTACAGTAGCCAATCACAAGATGAAATATGTGGGAATAAACCTTACTAGACACAAAATATCTTTATGAAGACAACAACCAAAAACTATTACAAGAAACAATAAAAGACCTATCTAAATGGGAAAAGAGACCTTGTTCATGGATAGGAAGATCGAACATTGTGAAAATGACTTATCTGCCAACAACAATTTACATGTTCAATGCAATCCTAGTATAGAGACCAAACTCATACCTCAAAGATATAGAAAAGATAGTTTTCAGGTTTATTTGGAAAGGAAAGAGACCATGAACAAAGCTTTTCAGAAAAATGAAGTAGAAGGAATTACACTCTTCTGATCTCAAAACCTACTTCACAGCCATAGTTACCAAACAGCACACATAGACCAAAGGAGTAGAATCAAGAACCCACAAATCCACGTATGGTCAATTGGCTTTTGACAAGGAAACAAAGCCTATCGAATGGGAAAATGACAGCCTCTTCAACATATGGTGCAAGCAAAACTGGAATTGCAGAAAATTTAACACAGTATCTGCATCTCACACATACAAAAAAACTTAACTCAAGGTGGATCAGAGACCTAGGGGGTAAAGCCCCAAACCATAATGATCATAAGAGACAAAATGGGGCCAAACTTAGAAGCTCAAGCTTATGACATAAATGGGCTTGTAAATATAGCAAAACATAGAGAACCAGGAGAGGTGCAAATCAAACCAACAAATGAGGTACTGTCTCACCCCAGTAGCAGTAGCATTAGAAAAGTTTAACAAGAATTTAACAAGCAATAAATAAATGTTGAAAAGGATGTGTAGACATTGGAATTCTTATGCACTGCTGATGGGATTGTAAAATGGTACAACCATTTTGAAAGGCAGTTTGACATTTCATCAAAAAACTGAACATAGAAATTCCATATTTTACTGCTAGGAATATTCTCCAAGGAAATCATGAACGGAGTTATGTACACCTATGTTCATAACATAAAAGTTATGAAAGACTTGATGAAGTTTTGCCATCTTTGCCTCTAATGAGTATTCATTCTGGCTGTACTTTTTCCAAGTTGTTTCTGTTTATTCCTTTGGCAATCCATGGGACATTTTGTACTTTTCTCCACCACCACAGCTCAAAGACATCAATTCTTTTTCTATCATCCACCACCACACCTCGAAGACATCAGTTATTTTTCTATGATACATGTTCAGTGTCCAGTTCTTAGATATGTAGCAAGTTAATTGATAATAACTGTAGTGTGAATCAGGTACATTTTTGTCTTCATACTGGCATCATTGCTGTTCAGTTTTTGTAGAGATTACTGACAGCAGACTTGCTCACTGCAATACATCTCCTCATCTTCTGACTGCTGGTAGCAATGGTGGTGACTATTGACCCAAGGCATTTAAATTCAAGAAACATACATGTCAGGGTTTTTATCCTTTTACCATGTTTATTCAGTCTGTGTGCTGAGCAAAGAATTAGAAGAAGAGTGTGGCATCAGCATTGGAGGAAGACTTATTAACAATATACAGAAAGCACAACCTTGATTACTGACACTGAAGAAGACTTGAAATGCTTACTAATGATTAAAGTCTTACTAATGAATATCAAATCCTTTATTATGAGCCAACATAAAGAAACCATAAACAATGAGAGATTTGGTGGCATAGTCGGTAGGGAGTTGTGCTGTTAATCCAAAGTTCCTGCCTTTCCAGAGGTTCGAATCCACTAGCAGCCCCTCAGGAGAAAGGCAGGCTATCTTCTGCAGTGTTTTAAAGGAAAAGAAACGAACATAAAGCTTCAGCATAAAAAAAAAAATAAAAATAAATAAATAAAAATCGTCACAGCTGGACCTGTAAGCTTCATTATAGTAAAGCAACATCATGGAATGTTTAGAATATAGATTCAAGCTGACAAGGGTTTCATTTTACTTCATTCCATAATCAATGTCCATGGAAGCAAAACTCAAGAAATCAAGCAACTTAGTACACTGGGCAAGTCTGTTCAAAAGACTTCTTGAAAGTACTGAAAAGCAAAGATGTTCTGTTAAGGACTAATGGCACTTGATCCAAGTTATGCTGTTTCAATCACCTCATATGTATGTGAAAACTGGAGGACTAAAGAAGATTGAAGAATGTTGCTGTCCATTCACCGGCAAGAAACCATTCACCCTGATGGGGGTAAGTACGACAGAGACACACCCCTCTGGGTGCTGTTCAGAGAGTCAGTCCAGCCCAATTTTACTGGGGGCTGCAGTGTACTTACATACAAACAAGTAAACAGGAAGACAGGATAGGGTGGGCTTACAAACATGGGACATGCAGATTGGATAGGAGAACCTCAGCCTCGTGTGGACTACTACTCCCAGCTCAACAGATGCAACAGCCGTCTTCCCAGGTGGCGAGCTTTCTCAAGACAGTACGGCCAAACACAGAGGAGCTTTCTCTATCCCGTATTAAAGGCAGTTGGGAGGCTTGCACTTATCCGGAGCTAGGTGATCTGTCCTGGCCAGAGGCCCTCCCTTCCTCAACATTCCCCAACAGAATAAGAATTTATGCTTTTATATTGGCAAAGTATATTCAATATTATTCCAGAAGAATGAGCAAGTCTATTTTGCAAGAAGTTCTGCCAGGATGCTCCTTAGAAGTAACAGTCAGATTTCACCTCACATACTTTGGATAAATTATCAGGAGGGACCAGTACCAGAAGGACATCATACTTGACAAAGTCATTCAAAAGGAAGAAACTTTCAACAAGATAGATTGACCGAGTGACTGCAGCAGTAGGCTTAGGAGGATGATGCAAGACCAGGCAAAGCTTTATTATGTTGAATTAGGTCTTGATAAACTGGGAGCAGCTCAAGGGTACCTAACTGTAAAAACAGCAAAGAATTTTTTAATAATAAGTGTTTTCATAGTGCAATATAACATAATTCAGTGTACTTCAGTTTATGTTTTCTGAGCTCTTATTTTCCCCCCATTTTTCTTCCATATTTCCCCCAATTTTTTAATATTGTTAGCAAATGTGTACTTTTTTGGCACCAGTGTGAAAGAATATAAGTTTTGGACCTTTTATATGTATCATAAAAGAGTAGATTTGAAATTATCTCAGTAAAAAAAAAGATTTTTCATGAACAGAAACTTATAAATTGATACTTAAAGTGGGGACCAATTGGCAACACCATGATGGATAGAGAAGAGATTGAGGGTGTTAACAGTTACATCTTGCTCAGCTCTACAATCAACACTCTTAGCACCAGCAGTCAGGAAATCAAGGGACAAATTGCATTAGGTAAATCTGTTGTCAGGGGCCTCTCCAGAATACTGAGAAGCAACAATGTCAGTTTTGAGACTAAGGTGCACCTGATCCAATCCATGGTCTTCATTATTACTTGCTATGCATCAAAGAGCTAGCTAATGACCAAGGATGATAGAAGAATTGATGCCTTTGCATTGTGGTCCTGGAGAAGAGTCTTTAATGTACATACAATGGACCACCAAGAAAACATGCAGGTCTGTCTTGGAGAGGGTGAAACCAAACTTCTCCTTGGAGGCTAGGATTTTGAAGCTCCATCGTATATACTTTGGGCATGTGGCAAGGAGGGACTGATCCTTGGAGAAGGACTTCATGTTTGGAAGGATGGAGAGACTTACAGGAATGGAAGACCCCCGGATGAGTTGGATTTATACAGTAACTATGGCAGTGGGAGTAGATGTGTGTTGGAATCAGTGAGACTGGTTCAGGACAGGGCAGGCTTATGAGTCTCAGATGACTGAATGCCATATAACAATAACAAAGAGTTTAGAAGTTGTTAGTGTGGTAAAGCCTAGATTTGAAAGCAATGGAAAGATTCTATAAGTCTTTGTATTGTTTTGTGAAAATATTTTTATTTGTCTAAATACTCAACGTTTTTCTTTCTAGGGTGGTGCTATAGCAGGGAATGTGGCTTATATACTGGACTCAAATCATGGAAAGGTTAGTTTACCTTACTACAAAAAAATAATCAACTTGATAAATAGTATTGGTGAAAAGTAATTCTTTTTCCTCACACTTTTATGTTTTGCATCATCAAGTATAGCCTTACATTTAATTGCTTTGAAAGTCTGGGTAATGTAAGAAGAATTGGTGGACACACTTCTTTTCTCTTGTAGAAGGCATTACTGTACACTGCAGTAAATCAGTTGGCTATGGGAAGCAGTTCATCTGAAGAGGAAAAAAATATTGCCCTAAAGACCATTCAGAAGGCAGCTTTCCTTTCTCCAGGTGAAGATAGTGTTTCTTTCTTTAATTCAGAGTCTCATAATGTTTCATTTGTGATTTGTATGGATGAAGTTGGTATTTCTATGTAATAAGACCAAAGAGAGCTTCAGCAAAATGTTTTAAGGTTGTGTCAGTCATTTGATTATCTGAATTTGGTTGCTTACAGTTAAAACACAATCAATTATTGAAGCAGATTTGAAGGAATGTCTACATACTTTACAACCACTTAGGAAAATTGGAATGCACATTTTCAAGTAGTTGTATTCTTTATTTAATTTTTAATAGTCTTATTTAATGAGGTATACCAAGAAATAGTTATTTTCACTTCTATCTTGGTAGACCTCACTTCTTTAGTCTAATTAGCAGTGTTATGTGTATGTTGTTAATCACAAAGGGTACTAAGGGGTTGCATATTCTATCTGCATTCTTCATCTAATTCCTGGGAAAGCTATTTCACTTTACATGAAAGACTGAGATGTCTAGCATCATAGGACTATGTGGTATATTGTTTTATTTTGTATATGAAATATAGTAATCACCAAAGTATTCCTCCACAGGCTGTCAATCTTTTGTTAGGGCAGAACACTACTGCTTTTGTCTAGGGACTCTTGGGAAACAAATGATAACAAAGAATAGATTCAAGGCTCTTTTCATAATAAATTGTAAGCATCCTGACTAAATTTCAAAATACTTGTTTATTTTATTTTATAAAACAAACAGACTCTGTAATTTATTTTTCTCTATAATGTTGGGAATAGAATAAAGAGACCTTAACCATTTGAATTTATCTGCCTCACACTTTATTACTTTATTAGTGTTCTTTATTTTTTAAAGCAAGTGTTAGATAGAATTGCTCTAAGCATTTCTTACTGTACATGCAGGATGATAGAAAGTCTGTTTGCATTTGATTGTGTAAGTGGCCGAAATGTTAAAGGGTAAAATTGTTCATATAGTCTTCTTTAATGTTCTCTGATTTTTCCATATAATCTAGAGAAATACATGCTCAAGGAATTTGAGTCACCAGATAAGATGCTTTGAAACAGGCACTTAGTGATGAAGATGAGTGCCTATTTGAGAGTTGTCAAGATCATTGTAGCATATGCAGGATAAACAAATCTTTGTGAATCTTTAGTTAAGTAAAGTATGGCATTAGAGGACTCTTCAAGAACTTAACCTCTAAAACTTAGAATGGAATTAAAAGAGTTCAGTGTCTATGATATTAAGAATTAACTCCTCTTAAAAATATTATGGTCGTCTTAAACATGTAAATAAGCTATATTTCATAAGCTATTTAAGTAAAAATATTTGAGTAATTCTGTGTTATTCCAGAGTGACTTTTTTTCATAGTGAATTTTGGTTACTGATATCTATGAAAGAGCTCATGGAAATATTTTTTTTAATTTTGTGACTATAAATTACTGCTGGGTAATGCTTAATGAAAAATGAGTATGTTTTCTTTATCTTAAACTTATTTTTAAGAACTGACTAGTAAAAGTAACAAAATATAGTTATTCTACTTATCTTGTAATCAAGCTTTTAAAGCAGGTGCTGAGTAGTGGAAATGTGTGCCTATTTGAAACATGTCCTTGGAGTCCAGAGAAAGTGAACATACTTGGCCTTTCCTTAATAGTATAGTACTGTAGGCACTTGAGCTAACCAGCCATGAAAGAAGAGGCTGTTATAATATTTCTTATCATTTGATATGTTTGGGGGAAAAATTGGCAAGTCTTTAGGAATGAATGCAATAATTTCTTTTTCTTTTAAGAAAATGAAGCTTTGAGTTAATATTTCTAGATGTAGAACTAATTTTATTTATTTAGCTGGTAAGCAGTTGTTGTCAGTTTTGATATTTTTTAGCAGCATGTTTTAGTTAACAAACTGTCTGATTGTATTTCTTGTCTTTAGGTGATCCAGCTGTCTGGGCCGGTCTAATGGCAGCCTGTCATGCTGATGATAAACTGGCTCTAGTGAACAACACTCAGGCAAAGAGAAGGGATTTAGACTTTGCACTCTTCTCTGCTATTTCTGTGTCAAGTAAGTTTTTAAAAAAATTCAAATGTGATTTCATTCAAGCTTCTTAAATGGTTTAAATTGGAAAAATAACCTTAATTGCATGTATTATATAAAAATATATCCTTTAAAGAAACTAAAGGAATTGTTAGCTGCCCTTTTGTCTAACCCTCCTCTTCCCCCTAACTCTTGATGACCCCATGTGTAACAGAGTACAACTGCTTAGGGTTTCTTTAGTATATTCCTGACAGAAGCAGTCTGCTAAGCCTGTCGTTAGCTGAGATGCTGAGTGAGTGTGAACTGCCAATTTTTACTTTAGAAGCTTATCCCACTTGTCTGACCAGGCTCATATATGTATAATAGCCAACTGGAAGGATGATGGCTGTGTATATTTCTATTTCCCATATAACTTAATAATCTTATATATTCTGTTAGCTAGGTATCTTTGTTTGTGACTTACCTGCTTTGAGTCTTGACCAATATTTTAGGATAGATATGACGAAAAAGAGTTCTTTATGGAAGCGAGCCCTGAAATTTCCTACTGATTCTTTCTTCCTAACATTATCTGTTAACCTATAAATCTTCCAAAATATTTTAACCTACTTCTGATTTGCAATAGTAGTTTTAGGTTATTAATTGTTTTTTAATAAATATTAAATTTATTGTCTGTCCTTTATGGATTTATAACTGATTTATAAAAGTAAGAGCAAAATAAATGACAAATTAAGAAAGTCAGGTTCTTTAGCAACATTATTATGTAGAGTTTTTTTGAAGAAGAGATTGTCAGATTAGATAAAAATGCAGGAATCACCATTATGCTGCCTACACGAAGCATAAAAAAATATGAATATTTTTGTGTAAATCAGAGAATGTGTTATAATGGGTAAATCTGGTATCATAGCCCTCTTTGAAGGTTATAAAAACAAAACTCACCTTGAGGACTGAAGTGCACCTGAACCAAATCATGTTTGGTCACCTGTGCTGCAATCCTGAAGACATGTGGTTCAAATCCACCAGTTGCTTTGCATGGGAAGTATGGGCAGACTCTTCCCATGCAATTAACTGCCTCTGAAAACCCACTCGAGGGTGAACGATGGGTCAGTTTGAATTCAACAGTACACAACAGTTAACATATGCTTTTGGTAATTGGTGGCCTAGTGATAAGAAGCTATACTGCAACCTCAAAGGAAACAGATCAAATCTACCAGCTGCTCCACAGGAGAAGGATGGGCAGTCTTGTCCCATGTAATTTACTGCCTCAGAAAACCCATTGGAGGGTCAACTGTGAGTCGGTTCCAACTTAATGGAATACAGCAACAACAAATTATGTTTGTGAAAGCTGAACAGAGAATAAGGATGATCAAAAAAGAATTGATGCCTTTGAAGGATGGTGTTGATGAAGAATATTGGCTATACTGTGGACTACCAGAAGAACAAACACATTTGTTTTGGAAAAAGCACAGCCATCAGGCTACTTAGAAGTTAGGGTTGCAAAACTTTGTCTCATCTACTTTGGACATATTATCAAGAGGGATCAGTTCCTAGAGATGGACATCATGTTTGTAAAGCATTTTGTTGTTGTTATATGTCACTGAGTCACATGTGACTCGTAGCAACTCTGTGTACAAAAGCCCTGAAACCTGCTCTATCCTGTGCCAATCTCACGGTCCCCAACACACCTACCCCAGTCACAGAATCAATCCATCTCATTGATGATGGTCTTCCTCTCTCTGTCCTTCCACTCTTCCAAGCATGATGTCCCTCTCCAAGGACTGACCCCTCCTTGTAAAGCATGTTGTTGTCGTTGTTATGTGCCGCCAAGTTGCTTGCGACTCATAGCGACCCTATGTACAACAACCCTAAACTCCGCTCTGTCCTGTGCCAGTCACACTGTCTCTGACACTCCCATCCCAATTATCCCAGTCACTGAATCAGTCCACCTCATAGAGGGCCTTCCTCTCCTGCACTGTCCCTCCACCCTCCCAAGCATGATGTCCCTCTCTAAGGACCGGTCTCTCCTCACAACATGTCCAAAGTATGTTAGACGGAGCCTCAGAATCCTTGCCTCCAAGGAGCCACCCGGTTTAACCCTTTCCAGGACAAATCTGTTTGTTTTCCTAGCAGTCCATGGTATTCTCAGTACTCTCTCCAGCACCACAGCTCAAAGGCATCAATTCTCCTTCTATCCTCCTTGGTCCAACTCTCTGATGCCTAACAGGTGATTGCGAAGACCATGGCCTGTATCAGACGCACCTTAGTCTCCTGAGGGACACCATTGCTCTTCAGTACTTTTGAGAGGTCCCTAACAGCATAGGGTCCAGAAAAAAGAGGAAATCTTCATCTGGATGGATAGAGACAGTGGCTACAATAATAGATTCAAACATAGCAGCAATTGTGAAGATTATAAAAGTCTATATGGCATTTTTATTGTACATAGAGTCACTGACTTGATGGCCCCTTCGAAGGACAACAAACTGAAAAGACAAAAACGTGAATGAACAAAAAAAAAGGGAAAGATCTATTTTTCTGACTTTAATCAACAGAGAGTTCATTACTTATTGCCATTGAATTGGAACTGACTCATAACTGACCCTCTGAGGTTTTTAAGGCTATTTAAAATGGATGGAAGGAGATTGTCCAAATCTATTTTGTGGCACTGCTGGTGCTTTTGGACTACAAAAGAGGGATGATGGTCTTTGAGTTAGCAGTGAAATTCGCTATAGGTTGTACCACTGTAGAGCTAAGATGGCTGACTCAATGAAGACAAATAATATTTCAAAACAGAGTATATTGTCAGAGATAAAGAATGTAATTTCACATTAGTCAAATTAGTCAATTTTTCAAGAGGATGTGACAGTACTATATCTTTATGCACTAAACACAGATTCAAACTACATGAAATATTTTAAAAATAAAATAATATGAAGAACAAACTTACAGAATTAAAAGAAGTGGACAAATTGACAGTTATGGTTTGAGATCTCAGCATTACTCTTTTAAGAATTGATAGAACAGTTAGAAACTCAATAATGACGAAGAGAGACTAATAAGACCATTGACCAACTTGACCTGCTTATCAAACATTTCTAACAATAAAAAAATGTACTTTTTTTTTATAGTACACGAAGAAAATTTTCTCAAATCTAAAATTTCTCAAATACTGAAAAAGATATCTTGTGATGGAAAAATCTACTGTTGGGACCTCTGCAAAGTACTAAGGAGCAATGATGTCAGTTTAAAGACTGTGGTGAGCCTGATGTAGGCCATGGTCTTTTCACTCTCTTAGTATGCTTTTGAGAACTGGAGAATGAATAAGGATAACAAAAGATTCAAGAATCAGTGCCTTTGAGTGGTAGTATTGGAGAAGAGTATTGGTTATCTTCTGGACTCTTAAGAGAACAGATGTATCTTGAAGAAAGTGTGGAAGGAAGGATGGTGAAGCTTAATCTCACGTCCTTTGAGCATGTTTTTAGAATGGGCTATCCCTTGGAAAGGGACATCATGATTAGAAAAGTCAGTGAAGGAGAGGAAGACATTCAGTGAGATGGATTGACATAGTGACAGTAGCAGTGGGTTTGACTATGTTAGAGATGATGAAGATGGCACTGGATAGGACAGGGTTTATATCTGTTATTCCTAGGTTTGCTATACGTCATAGTCAACTTGACAACACATAACAACAACAATACTAACACGCAACTTCTATATCAGGAGAGACTATGGTATTCTAGTGACACATGGAATTTTTAAAAACTGTATTTGCATGATCAGTCTAATTATGACACTTCTTAGTAACTAATTACTATATTAGCCAGGGATGCATCCTATCTTCATACCTTTTCAACCTGTATGCAGAACAGATTATCCGGGAGGCTGGGCTCTATGAGGAGAAATGTGGGGTCAGGATTGGTGGACGATTTATCAACAATCTGCGTTATGCGGATGACACAACCCTGCTTGCTGAAACTGAGGAGGACCTGAAGCGCCTGCTGCAGAGTGTCAAGGACTGCAGCCTACAATATGGATTGAGGCTCAATGTCAAGAAGACAAAGATTCTCACCACTGGACCAATTGGCAGTATCAGGATGGATGGTGAAGAGATTGAGATTGTACACAGCTTTAGTTTGCTTGGCTCCATAGTCAACAGTCTTGCACCAGCAGCCCGGAAATTAAAAGGCACATTGCCATGGGAAAGTCTGCTGTTAGGGACCTCTCCAAAGTGCTGAAGAGCAATGGTGTCTCTCTGGAGACTAAGGTGCGTCTGATACAGGCCATGGTTTTTGCAATCACTTGTTATGCATCAGAGAGTTGGACAATGACCAAGGAGGATAGAAGGAGAATTGATGCCTTTGAGCTGTGGTGCTGGAGAAGAGTATTGAGAATACCATGGACTGCTAGGAAAACAAACAGATTTGTCCTGGAAAGGGTTAAACCGGGTGGCTCCTTGGAGGCAAGGATTCTGAGGCTCTGTCTAACTTACTTTGGACATGTTGTGAGGAGAGACCGGTCCTTGGAGAGGACATCATGCCTGGGAGGGTGGAGGGACAGCGCAGGAGAGGAAGGCCCTCTATGAGGTGGATTGATTCAGTGACTGGGATAATTGGGATGGGAGTGTCAGAGACAGTGTGATTGGCACAGGACAGAGTGGAGTTTAGGGCTGTTGTACATAGGGTCGCTATGAGTCGCAGGCAACTCGACGGCACATAACAACAACAACAACAATTACTATATATATATTTGAAATGACAGAAGCAAGTAACATTGGCTTTCTTCCCCATCCTTTTTCTAGTTAAAGAGAAAGAGTTTCCTGAAAGCTACAACCAGGCTCTTGAAAAATGGTCCCTCTCCCAAACTGTCACTGGTTTAATAGAAACTGGAAGAATATCTGAAGCTGAAGTCCTCTGTACGAAGGTATTGTTGTGGAGCTGGGCATTGAGATTCATAGATTGTTATCCTACTTATGAAATTTAAGAAATGGTGTGCATGTGGGGATGGTGATGATAACAGCTGACATCTCTTGAGTACTTTGCTGAAAGTTACAGTTTCTTGGTGTAGTCAGGTGTTAGCTGTTAACTGAGAGGCAGAGAATTTGAGTTCACTGGCTGCTCCACAGGAGAAAGATGAATCAGTCTCCCCATAAAGATTGATAGCCTTAGACGCTCACGGAGGATCCATGAGTCAAAATTGACCTGAGAGCAGTAGGTTGCATTTTTGGGTTCTTTTTCCTTTTCTTCCAGGCTTCCCCTCTGCCCAGGGGTGCGGCATGCGTGCTCTCTGTGTTCCCCCAGCACCTCCTTCCAACGGCTTTTCCTGTGTACCTGCAATATGCCTCTTCGCTATTTTCCTTTTCTACAACCAAATCATTATTTCCTACACAATAATTCTTTGCCTCTGCAAGTATTTATTAGTGTCCCCTTTTCTACAGATAAGATAATGAAACTTACATAGAGTAAATAATTTGCACAGGAGTTCATAACTAGCCTATGACAAGAGTTGTTTGAACTCATAGTTGCTTGATTCTAGGGTCTAAGATCTTAATAGGTTGGGGTTCGTTTTGGTGGGTTTTTTTTATAGGTAGGTAGAATTTTACTTTCATTTCTGGTTTCTCCTTTCAGACTACTATGTTTTCCAGTATCTATTTTTCCAAGTTTCTGGACCATATAGAATGACCATGGCTCTTGTTCATTGGGTAATTGGAAATATTGATATCTAGTAGTCCATTGTTCCATTCCAGGACCATGGAGTTCTTGAGTGCAGGCTGTTTTCTAGTTTATTAGTGCCTCACCTAGAATGTAATAGAACTCAGTATTTACTGAATTAACAAATCAGTGTCATAAAACTATTTACAAATAATATAATGGAGAAAGAGAATTTTAAACATGACTTAACCTTAAAATATCACATCATATAGTACTTGTCACAGAGGTTATATTATCTTTTTAGAAATAAGTTTTGAAAGATCAGTATAAATTTTAAAGAGAAAGAATAGGCATTGGTAGAATACAGATGTTGGTTTGCATTTAAATCTCTGAAAAGTAATAATACTTTTTCTCCTTTACTTAAGGATTGTTCATAGAGTCACTGTGAGTCATATTCACCTGTATGGCACTTAACAACAACAATCTGAAATAAGTTCAGGACAGGTGACTATACAGTGGGTGTTTATTAAGCGCTGATTGATGTTATGTTCTCTCCAATAGTAATACTTACCTGAACTTTTTCTCTTTATTTTATTTGTTCCATTCTCTTATTTGGAAGAAAACAATCATGTGCCTTTTAGAAATACACTTAAGACAATGATCTAATAAGTAAGAATAGAGAAATGTGCTTTTGAAAATCAAGCAGTAAAGAAACATATTTAAAGCAATTGTGAAAAGGACACTTCCTTTAACTTTGTCCTTATATACATATATGAAGGAGGTACAAATACCCTTAGGTATTATATGTAAGTATTTTAGGATATAAATAATAATTTGGGGACATAAGAATATGGGTTAGTTCCCAGTACCTAAGGCATCAATGCATGAAAGAATAATATGCATTAGAAATCTTCTTTAAGAAATCGGAAAGGAAAATGTTTATCTTTTCTTGTATAATGTAGTTTGTACTATTTAGTAATCATAGTTCTTTAATATTCATTATATTATAAAAATTATAATTTATTCATTTATATTCTATAATTACTGTTAATTTTTTCATTTCTTAGGTAGTTCAGCCTAAAAATTGAGAACTTAAATTCTTCAGAATCTGATCTGAGAGAATAAGTTAAAGAAACAGACTAAATTTAAAGAATATGACTTACAACCTATAATAATATTTATTTCTCACTTTGAAGAATAGCTAAATGTAGAGTCTATAATATTACCAGTATGTTCAGAATTTTATTTCTTTAAACTTGATAGTTGTTTACTCTCTAGTAGAAAAACATTAATTTTAGAATTTTCCCTCCCGAAAAAGATAAATAGCTCAACTGTCTTTTACATTTGTTGGCATATTTAATATATTTCAAATTGGTGTTTAATTTTTAGAATTTAAAAAGTAACCCAGATCAGCCAGCTGTTATCTTACTTTTGAGACAAGTTCAGTGTAAACCACTCCTGGATTCACGAAAACCCCTCCCAGATGCTGTTCTTGAAGAGCTGCAAAAAGCAGTCATGTCGAACTCAACCTCCGTGCCAGCGTGGCAGGTCAGCTCTCTTGTTCTTTGTATGAATCCTGGACTAAATGCTTTGTGATATTTGATAGCATCAGGTGCATGATCCATTTTTGTCTTTATTTGAAACTTGGCAATGTATTTTTTAATTAGCAGACTATAAAGAGGATCGTAGTTAAAGGAACAAACAAGTTGAATATTTATTTGAGATCTGCCTCTATATTTTTACAAACCTCTTATTTGTTGATTATTTAGTTCCTCATTTTCACAAAGTGATGAACATACTGTTATATGTTGGGTTGATGTGGGAGAAATAAGGAAGTGTTGCAGACACTTAAGAGCCCTGGTGGCACAGTGTATTATGTGTTGTTCTGCTACCCTAAATATCAGTGGTTCTAATCCACCAACTCCTCCATGGGAGAAAGACAGGCAATGTCCTCCCATAAAGGTTTATAGACTCAGAAACTCCTTGGAGAATCACTGTGAGTTATAATCAACTAAACAACATTGATTTTGTTTTATGGTTTTAATGATGTATGAGTTCCTGGATGATGCAAATGATAAACACTCTACTGCTAGCTGAAAATCAGAGAGTTTGAATACATCCAGGAAAGTGTCAAAAGGACTGTTTTATGGAAATTTTACAGAACCTTCATATCTACACCTAGATTTCACCTGATGGGATGCACAGGAATCAGATACATTACATCTGTGGAAGGAATCGTTGGAGAAGTTCAATATCAGCAGTAAAAACTAGGCCAAGTGCTGATTGTGGAACAGACCATCAGCTACTCATATGCAAGTTAGTTTAAAGCTAAAGAAGCTGAAATCATATCCACAGAAATCAAAATCTGATCTTGAGTCTATCACCCCTGAATTTAAAAACCAACCCAAGAACAGTTTTGAAGCCTTGAACACTAATGAACGAAGTCCAGATGGTTGTGGGAAGATAGCAAGAATACCGTTCATGAAGAATGCAAAAGGTCATTACAAAGAAGGAAGAAGAAGAAAAAACCAAAATGGATGTCAGAAGAGACTCCAAATATTGCACTAGCTTGCCGAGAAGCCAAAGTAAAGGGAAGAAATCAAGAATTTAAGGAGTTGAACAGAAGATTTCAAATGGCAGCTTGAGAAACAAGGTAAAGTATTATAATGAAATGTACAAGAGCTTGAGTTGGAAAATCATAGAGGGCAAACTCGCTAAGTATTTCTTAAGCTGAAGAAACCAAAGAACAAATTCAAGCCGCGAGTTGCAATGCTTAAGGATACTATGGGCGGAATATTGAATGATTAGGAGCATTAAAAGAATATGGAAGGACTATACAGAGTCACTGTACCAAAACGAACTGGGTCACACAGAAGAATTTCAAGAAACAACATATGATCAAGAAACAATGGTGATGAAGGAGGAAGTTCAGACTCCTCTGAAAGACTTGGCAAAAAATAAGCCCCAGGAATTGATGAAATACCAATTGACCTATTTCAATAAACAGATGATGCCCTGGTTGTATTCACAAGATTGTGCCAACTGACTGGAAGAGATCCATATTTATTCCCCTTCCAAAAAATTATTGAACAATATCACTCATATCACACAATAGGGAAATCCTGCTGAAGATTATCCAGAAACTACTGAAACAGTACATTGACACAGAACTACCAGAAAAACATGCTAGATTTAGAAGAGGACATGACACTAAAGTCCTTATTATTAATGTCAGATGGATCTTGGCAGAAAGCAAAGAGTACCAGAGGAATGTCTATATATGTTTTATTGATTATGCAAAGACATTTTACTGGATCACAACAAACTGGCTAACTTTGAGGAAAATGGAAATCCCAGAACACTTGATTGTGCTCATGTAAAAGCTATACTTGAACCAGGAAGCAGTCCTGAGAACAGAGCGGGGAAACACTGCATGGTTCAAAGTCAGGAAAGGAGTGCATCAATATGTCCATACCTTTTCAATCTTTATACAGAACAGATAATTAGAGAAGTAGGGCTTTGTGAGAAGGAATGTGGCATCAAGATTGGAAGAAGACTCATCAACAACCTGCGTTATGTTGATGACACACTCTGCTTACTGAACTGAAGAGGACCTGAAGTGCTTGCTGCAGAAGGTCAAGGACTGTAGTCTTCAATATTGATTGAAGCTCAACATCAAGAAGACAAAGATCCACTATCAACACTATTAGCACCAGTAGTCAGGAAATCAAAAGACAAATTGCATTGAGAAAATCTGTTGTAAGGGACCTTTCCAAAGTACTGAGAGGCAACGATGTCGGTCTAGAGACTAATGTGGACCTAATCCAGGCTGTGGTCTTTGCAATTACTTGCTGTGTATCAGAGAACTAGAAAATAACTAAGGATGACTAAAGAATTGATGCCTTCGAGTTGTGGTGCTGGAGAAGAGTCTTGAACATACCAGGAACTGCCAAGAAAAGAAATAGGTCTGTCTTCGAGAGGGTGAAACTAAGCCTCTCCTTGGAAGCTAGGATTTCAAAGCTCTGTCTCATATATTTGGTCACATGACCAGGAGAGACAGGTCCTTGCAGAAGGAAATTATGCTCAGAAGGGCTGAGGGACAGCACAGGAGAGGAAGATCCTGGATGAGATGGATTGATAACAGTAACTGGGGCAATAGGGGTTGGTGTGTCGGAATTTTTGAGACTGGCTCAGGACAGGGCAGAGTTCAGAGCTGCTCTACATAGTGTCGCAGGCAGCTTGATGGCACATAACAACGTGTTCCTCTTTAAAAATTAAAGGGAAAATTGTTTGACATTTGTTTGTTTCTTTGTAAAGTGGTGGTTTTGAGGGTTTTTTTCCCCTCCTTTCTATTAGCTCTAAAGGTTTAGAAATGTAGATAATTTTTTATATACTGAGTCTTCAGCAACCTGGCTAAGTCTGTTTGTTCGTTTCTTTATATATAATCATATAATTTCTGAATGACAGTTTTACTTTTCCTCCCAATATTTATATACTGAAAATGTTTTTCTTATTTCATTGTGTAGAATAACTTCTAACTATATTAAGTGAGAGTGATGATAAGTAAACATTATTTTATTTTCAACATCAGGTAGGATTACTCAATATTTCATTATTAAGTATGATACTTTATAAATCAGAACACTTGATCGTTCTAATGCGAAACTTATACTTGGACCAGGAGGCAGTCGTCAGAACAGAGCAAGGGAACACTGCATGGTTCAAAATTGGGAAGGGCATACGCCAGGGATGCATCCTATCTCCATACCTTTTCAACCTATATGCAGAACAGATTATCCGGGAGGCTGGGCTCTATGAGGAGAAATGTGGGGTCAAGATTGGTGGATGATTTATCAACAATCTGCGTTATGCGGATGACACAACCCTGCTTGCTGAAACTGAGGAGGACCTGAAGTGCCTGCTGCAGAGCGTCAAGGACTGCAGCCTACAATATGGATTGAGGCTCAATGTCAAGAAGACAAAGATTCTCACCACTGGACCAATTGGCAGCATCAGGATGGATGGTGAAGAGATTGAGATTGTACACACCTTTAGTTTGCTTGGCTCCATAGTGAACAGTCTTGGTACCAGCAGCCAGGAAATTAAAAGGCGCATTGCCATGGGAAAGTCTGCTGTTAGGGACCTCTCCAAAGTGCTGAAGAGCAGTGGTGTCTCTCTGGAGACTAAGGTGCGTCTGATACAGGCCATGGTCTTCGCAATCACCTGCTATGCATCAGAGAGTTGGACAATGACCAAGGAGGATAGAAGGAGAACTGATGCCTTTGAGCTGTGGTGCTGGAGAAGAGTATTGAGAATACCATGGACTGCTAGGAAAACAAACAGATTTGTCCTGGAGAGGGTTAAACCGGGTGGCTCCTTGGAGGCAAGGATTTTGAGGCTCCGTCTAACTTACTTTGGACATGTAGTGAGGAGAGACTGGTCCTTGGAGAGGGACATCATTCTTGGGAGGGTGCAGGGACGGCGCAGGAGAGGAAGGCCCTCTATGAGGTGGATCGATTCAGTGACTGGGATAATTGGGATGGGAGTGTCAGAGACAGTGCGATTGGCACAGGACAGAGCGGAGTTTAGGGCTGTTGTACATAGGGTCGCTATGAGTCACAGGCGACTCGACGGCACATAACAACAACAACAACAACAGATACATTGTCTCATTAAGGAAGTTCATCTGTCTTGAATTTGTAGAGAGAATTTTATTGCTTGTTTTAATATGAATATTGATTTTATCAACTGCTCTTTTGTGTATCTACTAATCTTTTTTACATTAATTTTTTCCATTTAAAAACACTTATTCAGAGCATACTTTTTATGATTTAAGCTCTTTGAAATTTGCTAAGACCTGCTTATGACCTGGCACATGGTCAGATGTGTTTTATATATGCTTGGAAAAATGTGTATTCTTTAGTTACTTGTAGTTTTCTAGAAATGTCATTTAAGGTGAGTGCTTAATTAAGTTTAAATGTCTTATATCCTTAGTGATTTCTTTTCCTCATCATTTGTTGAGGTAAGAGTAATAAAATCTCTAACTTTGATTTTTTTTTTAATTTATTTTATTTCATTTCATTATTTTTTGTGTGTACTGTCAAATCAGATCTGACTGGTACAGGAGGAGATTGTTCCTCCTTCTCCAGCAGAGCATCTGGTGGATTTGAACCGTGCACCTCTGAGACTGTAGTTGCAGCTTCTTGCCACTAGGCCACCAGAGCTCACCTAACTTTGATTCTTGATTTCTGTGTCTCTTTTAATTCCTGTTAACTTTGTTTTATAAATTTTGAAGCTGTGTTATTAGATGAACTCAGATGTAGGAGTGTTGTATCTTCATGTTGATTTATTCTTAAATGTTTCACTTTATCCCTCTTAATATTTCTTAGCTACTTAATCTGATACAATATACTATACAAACTTTCTTTTGACTAGTAGTTATATATCTATTTCCACATTGCATTTTGATTTTGTTACTGACTTTCCATCTTAGAAGGCTGTTGTGAACAAAATATCTATCCCTTTTTACCTGAAAACTTTTATTTTCAGAATTTACCAATACAGTCACTCTGAGGTAACAACTTGGAAAAAGTAAAATAGGCTATATGAAATTGAAGCTTAACTAAGTTTTCAAAGACCAGATTAATATGCAGAAGTCAGCATTATGTGAAAATGGAGAATGATCACATTAACATTCTCTTTCTTCCTACATCTCTCCCTTCTTCTCTCTCTCTCTCTCTCTCTCTCTCTCGCACACACACACACATACACGCACGAGCACACATACATCTTTGCATAACTTCTAACCATGAAATTACATATAACTGCTAGAGTACTGAGAATCATCGTCCATCTAAAATGATACTTAGCTCTAACCATCACAGCCAGCTTATTTTTGCATCACACCTTGCTGTTCCATACTACTAGACATACATTGTTAATATGCAAAGTACAGTATTGTCATTAGTCAAAATGCTGAAAACAACATGGTTGATAAGGTAACATAGATGGGATTAAATAAAAATTACAAGTTCATCAAATTTTATTGACTTTGTTGGAGGTGGCTTACCATATATTGTACTAAACTTAGGTCTTTTGGGTTCTTCTCCATTTCTATTCCTTAGTGGTTGGCACATGTATATCACTCCCAAGGAATGATGGGTGCTGCAGAGATGTGTTACAGAAAGAGTCTACAGGTGGCATCCCAACAGGGCAGTTGGAGTGGGAAGCTCTCAAGTCTCTTGAGACTAGCCCTGCTTGCGTTAGAAGTCTGCATGGTAAGATCATATTATAATTATGCTTGTGAAAAAGGTGATTCTTTATCTTAAAGAGGAAAGCTTTGTCACATAGTAATAACCTACTGAGTTCTTTTTGTATCATTGCCTTCCACTCTGTTCTACTCATACAGTGTATTTTGAGTCCATATTAAATATAGAGTAACATAAACTGATAATCTTATTTTGTAGTTAAGGAAATTAAGGCACGGAAGGTGAACAACTTAACACTAAAATAACAAATAAAGATCACCAAGCTAGAACATAATAATAGAGCATGGATTTGAAACTAGGCAAGACGGCTTTTTAGTCAGTACTGTGAACCACTAAAGTCATTAAAAAGTGGGTTATTTTTGGATTCTTTTTTAAAATTTTATTTTGTTATGTTGCTAGTTTTAATTTTGAACTAGGTCTGTTCAAGTTTGTCCATTGTTCTATTAAATAACTTCTCACCTCCTTAATAGCATAATGGTTGAGTGCTTGGCTGCTAACAGAAAGATTGGTAGTTTGAACCCATCAAAATGATTCTGAAGAAGAAAGATGTGGACACCATAAATAAAACTATTACAGCCTAGAAAACCCTCTGGGGCAGTTCTGTTTTGTCACTTAGATTCATTATGACTAGAAAAATTGCTAATCACATTGTTCAACATATGTCTATACAGAGGAATTGAAGAGTAAACATCCAGTGATCTGAAGGCAAGATAATCATAGGCATCTAAGCCTTAGGCATTTGTTCATTTATTTTGTTCATCAGGTGAGCACTTGCTTTGTTGCAGGCACTACTTTAAACATCAAGGATATGGTAGTGGACAAATCAAGTAATAATTCATTTTTCCAGAGTTAGCATTTCAGTAACATCCATAAACACCTCATAACCCCACTCGTTACTACTATAAAGTATTCCCCTACAAGACTTCTGATTTACATTTATTCCTTGTGAAAGCTTCAGCAAGCTCTTTCACTCTCTTCTTCTTTTTTGTAATGGCGGAGATAGTAATGAGGAGTGCCAAAAGAACAAACAAATATGTCTTTGAGAAAATGTATCCAATGTGCTCCTCACAGGCAAGGATGATGAAACTTCCTTTGATATTTGGCTTGTTAGGAAAGGCCAGTCCTTACAGAGAGACATCAGGCTTGGAAAGATGTAGTGTCATCAAAAGAGAGGAAATCCTTCAACAAGATGAATCAACATAGTGACTGTAGAGTTGGGATCAAATATATTTAGGATGGTGATAATGGTAGGACAGGGTGCAGATGTGTTGTTACTAGGTTTGCTCTGAGTCTAGTAAACTCAATGGCACCGGACAACAACTGCCTTGCATTCTTGTGAGGTTGTCAGAAATAGCAAATGAACCATATCTGTGAATCTCAGAATACCTTCCAAATATTCAAACTACAATTAGCAAGAAAAGGTGGGAGTATTGGAAGGTCTACTGCTGCCTATGACCCTCCCCAAGTAGGGCACTGAGGAAGAGGATGATGTCAGTGTTATCACTGAATGAAATTCGAAATGTAAAAAAATTAGAAAGATACTGTAATTGAGACTGTATTTGTGAATGGGTGTCAGATAAGTGGATGCAAAAGTCATCGGGTGTATGATGATTTACATCAATGGACAGAAAAATGTTCTCCCTCAAATAATAAACTTTAAAGAAATGTTGTATACTGTAGAGTCAGAACTTCCCCTCCAGATGGTTTTCAGAGGTAGTAAATCACATGGGAGGAGATTGCCCATCTTTCTCCTACAGAGCAGCTGGTGGCCTTCAGGATGAAAGAGTTAGTGAGACAATTTTGAAAACCCAAGGAAAGGTTACACACGGATTCAGTCTTGGAGGGATAATAGGAATGGGAAATGTGGAAAGGGGGAGCAAAGATTAATACATAGACAAGTTGACTAAAGCTAAAGGCAATACATTAATAAAAAGGAATTGATGATATATTGTAATACATTGTTAACTCTGAGGAGAATGGGAATCCCAGAACACTTGATTGTTCTAATGCGAAACTTATACTTGGACCAGGAGGCAGTCGTCAGAACAGAGCAAGGGAACACTGCATGGTTCAAAATTGGGACGGGCATACGCCAGGAATGCGTCCTATCTCCATACCTTTTCAACCTATATGCAGAACAGATTATCCGGGAGGCTGGGCTCTATGAGGAGAAATGTGGGGTCAAGATTGGTGGACGATTTATCAACAATCTGCGTTATGCGGATGACACAACCCTGCTTGCTGAAACTGAGGAGGACCTGAAGCGCCTGCTGCAGAGTGTCAAGGACTGCAGCCTACAATATGGATTGAGGCTCAATGTCAAGAAGACAAAGATTCTCACCACTGGACCAATTGCCAGCATCAGGATGGATGGTGAAGAGATTGAGATTGTACACAGCTTTAGTTTGCGTGGCTCCATAGTCAACAGTCTTGGTACCAGCAGCCAGGAAATTAAAAGGCGCATTGCCATGGGAAAGTCTGCTGTTAGGGACCTCTCCAAAGTGCTGAAGAGCAATGGTATTTCTTTGGAGACTAAGGAGCGTCTGATACAGGCCATGGTTTTCGCAATCACCTGTTATGCATCAGAGAGTTGGACAGTGACCAAGGAGGATAGAAGGAGAATTGATGCCTTTGAGCTGTGGTGCTGGAGAAGAGTATTGAGAATACCATGGACTGCTAGGAAAACAAACAGATTTGTCCTGGAGAGGGTTAAACCGGGTGGCTCCTTGGAGGCAAGGATTCTGAGGCTCTGTCTAACATACTTTGGACATGTTGTGAGGAGAGACCGGTCCTTAGAGAGGGACATCATGCTTGGGAGGGTGGAGGGAGAGCGCAGGAGAGGAAGGCCCTCTATGAGGTGGATTGATTCAGTGACTGGGATAATTGGGATGGGCGTGTCAGAGACAGTGCGATTGGCACAGCACAGAGCAGAGTTTAGGGCTGTTGTACATAGGGTCGCTATGAGTCACAGGCGACTCTACGACACATAACAACAACAACAACATTATATAAATATCTATGAATGATTGTATGAAAAACAAATATGATTTATAAACCTTCAGTCAAATGAAAATAAATGAATTAATAAAACAAAGAGATCGTTGGAGATAAAAGTAAATGTGCATTGTACCAGCAACGTAGAATAACTTTTATGTCAATAATACTTTTTAGATTAACTCTATAGAATGGTGTATATACATTTTTGGGATAGAAGAGAGTACATTATAGGAAAGCATCCTTTGAGAAATTTGTATCCATGGTTTTTAAAGAAATACTAGGTATGGTTTTATTAGCATTTTCCTTGCCTTTTTTTTCTTTTTTTTTTTTATTGTCACCTGATCCCAAGGTCCCACTGCTTCCATCCTTTTATAAGATGCCACATGACCTTCACTCTGACTTTGAATTTATTATCTTTGTGGCTTCCTCTTCCTTTATCACACACATTGCTGTTGCTTGCACTACACTCAGAGTTTATTGCTTTTATATTTAAAAATATTTTTTAACTAAACAAGGTATTGATTCATTATATTGACTACTTAAATGCACATGCTTCTTGCTGTTAGGTACTACCGAGTCTGCCCTGACTCATAGCCACCTGATGTGCAACCAAACAAAACCCTGCCTGATCCCGTACAATCTCTACAGCACAGAAGCCTAGTGTTGAAGTCGTTGTCTAGCCATCTCACTGAAGATCTTCTTTTTCACTGATCCTCTACTTATCATGAAATGCAAAGCTTTGTTTTTTATCACTACCTATTAAAAAGTAACTCATTAAATTTGGTTTAATGTATATTTTAGACCAAAAACTTGTTAAATAAAATTTATTTTCTTTTAAAACATAATTTGATGTTTTTAAACAATACTTTCTCTCTGAAACTTTCGTTTATTCCTGTCTGCCCCATTGAGTGGCTTCTTAAGGAAGGTGTCAGATCCTAATCATTTTTGAGTAGTTGCATTCTTTGAAACCTTCACACAGCTACTTGTAATGAGAGTTGAATTATGTATTTCTAAAGTAAATTTGTCAGCAGATTTAATTTTTATCTTAATTTGCCATTTTATCTTTAATTTTGTATTTTCACAGGCTAATATTTCCAATGATCACTGGCCTTCTTTGGTTCAGGAAGCTACAGCTGAGGCCTTGAAGCTTTGCTTCTGTCCGCTAGCTGTTCTTGTTCAAGCTTTGTTACAATTTAACTGCAAGATGGGAGCAAGGTATGGAGAATTTTTGTTTCGTTTTATTCTTGCAATTTTTTTTTTACCCTTTCAACCCTTCCAGGGAAGATTAAAGCAAAAATTTATAGTTGATGTAACCAAATAGTATTTAAACTTTGAGGCTATTCAAAGAGCTGTATCAACTGTGTAAAAAGTGGTTGAGAAAATGAAGTCATAAATCTGTATTTTTTTAAAAAATATGTAAGTACAAAGAATAAGAGAGAAGCCTGGCTTTTCAGCATTTCCAGTGAAGAACGCCTTGGAGTTTTTGCTCCCCTCAGTGTCAGAGTGGGCAACAATGTGATGTGGCTTCTGAAACAAATAAAAAACGTAAAAAGACCAAATTCTTGGCTACATTAATATTAGTTTCTGTTGATGTTTGGCTTTGAACAAGTAATCAATTTGAAGAAGCAGAGAAATATTTTTGGTAAATGTGATCTTACATCTACACCGTCTCAAAATTAAGAATATAAAAAAAAATTCTACAAATATTTTTATTGCCGATTAGGCACAAGGTCAAGAATAAATCTAAAGAAAATGTCTTTAAAATTATGTGTTGTGGTTGTTGTTATGTTCCATCGAGTTGCCTGTAACTCATAGTGACCTTATGTACAATAGCTCTGAATCTTGTCCTATTCTGAGCCAATCTCACTGTCTCTGACACACTTGTCCCTATTACTTCAATCTTTGTGTCTGTCCATCACCTCTCCTGCATTGTCCCTTAACCTTTCCAAGCATTATGTCCTTCTCCAAAGGCTGGTCCCTTTGGCAACATGCCAATAGTATATGAGATGGAGTCTCAAAATCTTTGCCTCTAGAGAGCAACTTAGTTTTACCCTCTCTAGGACAGACATGTTTGTTCTCTTGGTAGTCCATATTATGTTCAATATTCTTCTCCGGTACCACAATTCAAAGGCATCAATTCCTTCTTCCATGCTTGTTCATTGTCCATCCCTCAGGTGCATAGCAAGTAATAGTGGAGACCATGTCCTAGATCAGGCACACCTTAATCTCTAGATTGACATATTATACTTCAGCACTCTGGAGAAGTCCCTGACAGCAGATTTCCAATCCCCATACATCTTTTGGTTTCTTGGCTGCTGGTCCCAAGAATGTTAATTATGGATCCAAGCAAGCTGACATTGTTAACAGTCTCAGTCTCTTCCCCATCGATTATGGTGCTGCCATTTGGCCCAGAGGTGAGAATTTTGTTTTCTTGATGTTGAACTTGAATACATATTGAAGACTGTAGTCCTTGACTTTCTGAAGCAGCTTAGTTTCAGTGAGCAAAGTTGTGTCATTTTCATAAAGCAAGTTGTTAGTGAGTCTTTCTCCAATTCTGATGCCACATTCCTCCTTATAAAGACTAGCCTCTCAAATGATTTGTTTTTTATATAGACTGAATAAGTATGGGGGACAAGACACATCCCAGACATACTCTTCTTGATTTAACCATGTTCCCTTGCTCTGTTCTGAAGACAGTCTCCTGATTCGAGTATAGGTTTAGCATGATCACTATTGGGAGTTTGGGGATTCATTCTTCTCAAGGTTCTATTTACTGTGATCCACACAGTCAAATACCTTTGTGTAGTCAATGAAACACAGATAGACATTCCCCTGGTACTCTGCTTTCAGTCAAGATTCATCTGACATTGGCAATGATGTCCCTGGTGCTCTAGCCTCTTCTAAACCCAGCCTGTACTTTGGATAGTTCTCTACTAATGTACTTGTCCAGTCATTCTTGGATAATCTTCTGCAAGATTTTACTTGTGTGTAATATTAGTGATGATGTCGTTGTTGGTGTTGTGTACCATCAAGTTGGAACCAATTAATATCTAACACTCCAGAAGGTTTTCAGAGGCACTTAATCACACAGGAGGAAATTGCCCATCCTTCTCCAATGGAGCTGATGGTGGCCTCAAACCACATGCCTCTGAGATTGAAGCACAGCTTCTTGCCACTAGGCCACCAGAGCTCCACAATAGTGATATTGCTCAATAATTTCCACACTCTTGTCACATCACCCATTTTTGGAATGGGAATAAATATGGATCTATTCTAGTCATCTGGCCAGGTAGCAGTCCTCCACATTTCTTGACACAACTTAGTGAGCACATCCAGGGCAGCATCTGTTTGCTAAAATATGTCAATTAATATTTCATCAATTCCTGGACCCTAGTTTTTTGTTAATTCCTTCAGAGAAGCTTGAATGTCCTCCTTCATCACCATTGCCTCTTGGTCGTATGCTGTTTCATGAAATCCTTCTGTGTCAGCCAGTTATTTATAGTACTATGACTTTGTGTTGATTAGATTTGGCCTCATATTTAAAAAGGCACTTGGGCCCTCGAGCTTGTGGCCCTTGGACCTGGTTTTTGTGGAGCTCCCGAATAAAACAGCCTTGGAACAGGAGAGGCACCCACTTCCAAAAAAAGCTTGCCTACGGAAACTCTATGAACTTGGAGAAAGATGAAAATTTTGTGTTTAAGACTTTGTCTCGTATGGTTGCTATGGGTCATCTACAACTCGATGGCACTTAACAACAACAGCAGCATGACTCTGTGTATTCTTCATCTTCTTTTGATGCATTCTGGATTATTCAGTATTTTGCCCATAGCATCTTTTTCAGAGGCTTGAATTTGTTCTTCTGTTCCTTCAGCTTAAGAAATGCCAAAGCATATTCATCCCATTTAATTCTCACTCCAGCTCTTTGCACAGTTCATTAAAATACTTTGTTTTTTCTTCCAGAGCTGCCCTTTTAAATCTTCTTTTTAGCTTCTTAACTTCTTCATTTCTTCTCTTTGCTTTGGCTTCTTGGTGCTCTAGTGCAATATTCAGAACCTCTTCTGACATCTATCCTAACCTTTTCTTCCTCCTTTTTATAATGACCTTTTCCGGTCTTCCTGGATGTTATTCTTGATAGCCTCCCACAGTTCATCTGGTCTTTGTTCATTAGTGCCCAAGTCCTCAAACCTGTTCTTGAGATGATTTTTAAATTCAGGTAGGATATACTCAAGGTCAAATTTGGTTTTTGTAGATTTTATTTTATTTTCTTTAGCCTCAGTTTGAACATGCACCTGGCTTATGACTAAATAGGGGAAATTATTTAAAATTCTGAACTTAATATCTAGTTCTGATAGCTAACAAACGTAATAAAAAGTAACTCTAAGGATAGAATAGGTATTGAATAGAGCTAAATGGATAAAATAAATGTCAAAAGATACATTACAAAAAAGGATTGAAGGAAAAATAATACAATGGCTAACTGCAATCCCATTGAAATTTATACATATTTATTTCTTTTTAGCCTTTCTTTTTCCTATAACTAGTTTTACCAATGGATAAAAGGGAGTTCCAGAATACTTAATTGTGCACATGTGAAGCCTGCACTTAGATCAAGAAACAGTCATTTGTACAGAACAAAGTAATAAATACTGTATAGTCTGAAATCAGCAAAGGTACAAATCAAAGGTGTATCCTTTCTCCATACTGTTCAGTTTGTATGCTGAGCAAACACTTGGAGAAATTGCAGTATATAAAGAATACGGCATCAGGATTGGAGGAGGGCTCAATCAACAACCTCCATTATACAGACAACATAATGTTGCTTGCCAGAAACTAGAGAAGACTTGATACACTTTCTGTAGAATATCAAAGATTACACCCTTCATTATTAAGTACACCTCAAAGAAAACAATGATCTTCTTCATTGGACTAATTGGCAGAATCAAGATGAATGGAGTGAAGGTTAGAGTTATCAAAGATTTCATTTTACTTCATTGACTGAATCCATAATCAGTAACTATGGAAGCAGCACTTAGGAAATTGAAGGAACTACTGCATTGAGGAAAGTTGCTGTTACAGACCTTTATAAAATACTCAAGAGCAAAGATATCAGTTTAAAGACTAATGTGAACCTGATTCAACTATGAAATTTTCACCAGTCCAAATAAATTGTTACTGTTGTTATGTACCATCAAGTTGGAACCGACTCAGCTAATCATCTAGTGGCTTTTCAGAGGTGGTAAATTGCATGGGAAGAGATTGCCCAGTTTTTTTCCACTGGCCAGATTCAAACCACATGCTTCAGGTTGGCAGCACACCTCCTTACCACTAGGCTACTAGAGCTCCCTAATAAACATATTTTCTATGCAAAAATGTGTGATTACTATGTAACCTAAGGAAAAGTATCTTCAAGTTGAGTTCTTTAGCTACTGCAGAAAATCAAAGAGGGTGAACTCACTCAGCATTTCTTAAGCTCGAGGAAATTCAAGCCTTGAGTTTCAATACTTAAGGATGCTTTGGACAGAATATTGAGTGACCTGGAAGTATTAAAAGAAGATGGAAAGAGTATATAGAGTCCTTATACCAAAAGGAATTGGCAGACATGGAAGAATTTAATGAAACAACATATGAACAAGAGCCTATGGTGATGAGGGAAGAAGTTCAGACTGCTTTGAAAGAATTGGATAAGAATAAGGCCTCAGGAATTGATGGTATATCAATTGACATATTTCAACTAACAGATGCTGCCCTAGATGTGTTCACCAAGTTGTGCCAAGAAATCTGGAGAACAACCACTTGGCCAACTGACTGGAAGAGATCTTTATTTGTTCCCATTCCAAAGAAAGGGAAGAGTGTGGAAATTATCGAAAAATATCAATATCACATGCAAGCAAGATTTTGCTGAAGATTATCCAAAAACAACTGGAACAGCACATCAACAAAGAACTACCAGAAGTGCAGGCTGAATTTACATGGGGCCATGGTACTAGGGATATTGTAGCTAATGTTAGATGGATCTTGGCTGAAAGCAAGGAGTACCAGAAGAATGTCTGTCTTTGTTTCATTGATTATTCAAAGGCATTTGACTATGTGGATCATAACAAACTGTGGCTAACTGTGAGAAGAATGGGAATCCCAGAATGCTTGATTGTACTAATGTGAAACCTATACTTGGAACAGGAGGCATTTGTCAGAACAGAGCAAGAAAACACTGCATGGTTCAAAATCCAGAAGGGTGTACGCCAGGGCTGTAACCTGTCTCCATACCTTTTCAATCTTTATGCAGAACAGGTTATCCGAGAGGCTGGGCTCTATGAGGAGAAATTGTGGCATCAGGATTGGAGGAAGAATCATCAACAATCTGTGTTATGCAGATGACACAGCCTTGCTTGAAGAGGACCTGAAGCACTTGCTTGTGGAAGGTCAGGAACTGCAGTCTTCAGTATGGTTTGAGACTCAATATCAAGAAAACAAAGATTCTCCTCACTGGGCTGATTGGCAGTGTCATAATGGATGGTGAAGAGATTGAGATTATTCAGTTTTGGTTTGCTTGGATCAATAGTCAACACCCTTGGCACCAGCAGCCAGGAAATTTAAAAGCATATTGTGATGAGAAAGTCTGCTGTTAGGGACCCCTCTATAAAGTGCCGAAGTGCAAATATGTCAGTCTGGAGACTAAGGTGTGCCTGACACATGGCATGGTCTTTGCAGTCACTTGCTATGCATCAGAAAGCTGGACAATGACTAGGGATGATAGAAGGAGAATTGATGCCTTTGAGCTGTGGTGTTGGAAAATAGTATTGAATATACAATGGACTGCTAGGAAAACAAACAGGTTTGTCCTGGAGAGGTTAAAGACAGCCTAGTCCTTGGAGGCAAGGATTCTGAAGCTTCGTCTGACATACTTCGGACATGTTGCAAGGAGGGACCAGTCCTTGGAGAGGGATGTCATGTTTAATAGGGTGGAGGGACAGCACAGGAGAGGAAGACCCTCAATGAAATGGATTGTTTCAGTGACTGGGGTAATGGGGACAGGTGTGTCAGAGATGGTGAGACTGGCACAAGATAGGGCAGAGTTTAGGGCTGTTGTACATAGGGTCGCCTGCAACTCAACAGCACATAACAACAACAACATAGGACGTTCCTATTTAATAGCCATTACTGAATTCTTTAAACTCAAGTTAGAACAGTGATATCAGTTTAAAGACTAAGGTGTGCCTGACCCATGTCATGGTATTTTTAGTTACTTTGTATGTGTCTGAAAATTTTACAGTGAAGAAGAATCTATGTCTTTGATTTGCTGTATTAGCAAAGAACATTGAATATCCTGTGAACTGCCAAAAGAGCAAACAGATCTGTCTTAAAGGAAGTGCAACTATGGTGTTCCTCAGAGACAAGGATGGGGAATCTTTTTTTTTTAAATTGATATTTTGATGAAAGTTTACAAAAACTTGGATTTCCATTCATTCACTGTTGCACATTTTTCTCCTCAGTTTGCTTTCTCTTTAAAATGATTCTTTCCTTGTTGCACAGTTTCCTCCCTCTCCCCACTCCCCAGTCTGCTTTGCTATGCACCTCTTATTCCTGACTATTGGTCATGCAAATAATACCTAATCATATATTTCTTGTTTTAAAAATTTTATTTTTTAAAAGTGATATTTTAATGAAAGTTTACAGAAAATTTCGATTTCTATTCACTCACTGTTGCACATTTTCCTCCCTACCCCACCTTCCAATTTACTTTTCTCTTTAAAAGGATTCTTTCATTTTTTTACATCCCCCACCCCCAAGTCCACTTTACCATGCAGCTCTTATTCTGGACTATTGTCATGCAAATAATACATAATCATATATTTCTTTTAGACAGTTCTTTCTGTCATCTATTTCAATGCAGTGTTCATTATTCATCCCTTCTTTTCATAGTTTCTGCCAATACCCATTTCAGTCCTGTTTTATAACAGTGGCACCATGCAGTATTTGTCCTTTTGTGACTGAGATAGTTCACTCAGCATAATGTCCTCCAGGATCACCCATTTTGTATAATATTGTATAAGTCCTTTGTTTTTCAGTGCTACGTAGTATTTCATTGTGTGAATATACCTCAGTTTCTCTCTCTATTTGTTGATGGACAGCTCTTTGCTATTGTGAACAATGCAGCAGTAAACATGGGTGTGTATATATCTGTTTGGGTGGCAGTTCTGGTTTCTTTAGGGTATATTCTCAGTAGTGCAATTGCTGGGTCGAATAATATTTCTATTTCCAACTTTTTGAGAAAGCACCGTATTACCTTCCAGAGTGGATGCACCATTTTACACTCCAAAGAGACCATAATGGCCACCCAAGCAGATATAAGCACACCCATATTTATCACTGCTTTGTTCACAAGAGCAAGGAGTTGGAAACAACCTAAATGCCCATCAACAAAGCAATGAATAGAGAAGCTGTGGTATAACAATGGAATACTACACTGCATTGAAAAACAAGGAACTCATGCAATATTATTCACAATGGGTGACCCTGGAGGACATTATGCTGAGTGAAATATCTCATTCACAAAAGGACAAATACTACATAGGCTCACTGTTGTAAAACAGGACTGACATCAAGTTTGGGGGGAGAGTGAGAAAGATGGGATAAAGTATACTGCATTGAAACAGATGAGGGAGAAAACTGTTTAAAATGGATATGTGATTAGGTATTATTGTCATGATAGGAGTCCAGAAGGAAGGCTGCATAGTGGAGTGGACCTGGGGAGAGGGATTGTAAAACAATAAAAGAATTTTTCCTTTACTTTTCAAAGAGAAGACTATACTGGGGGGAAAGTGGTGGGTAGGGAGAAAAGTGCAACAAAGAATAAATGGAAATCCAAAGTTTCTGTAAATTTTCATTAAAATTAATAATAATAATTATGTAATAATCAAAGAACATTCATAATAATAATTATGTAATAATCAAAGAACATTCATAATAATAATTATGTAATAGATTTGATACTTGCATGTGAAATATACTCATTTTAGTACTTTGAATTAAATATAAATACCTTTTCCACAGAGAGACACGGCGACTTTTGGAGAGAGTGGTTTATCATCAGCCCAGGTACCCCAAGTCTATTGTATCCACTGCTCGATGGTACCTACTCAGACACCTATATGCCAAAGATGACTACGAGCTCATCGATGTAAGGCATCAATTTTTAAAATATTTAATTTAGAACTAATGGTTTTGTAGCTATTTTCCCCCCAGTTATTCCATTTTGTAATTGTGTTTTCAAAACATTAAGTGTCTATATATTTAAATATATGCTACCAAGTCAAAAGTGGGTGATTTTAATCCAACCCTTAGGCCTGGTTTTAATTGTTTTTGTTCAAACATTCTTCTAAGTGGCATAGCACTGGTCTGTCCATTTTCTGTACAGAGGTAACTCATGGTTGCTGTGATGCTAAACACTGTGACACTGATGTGTCAAATATGATAATGGTTACCGGTGGTGGACAGTGTTTGGTGGAGCTCCCTGATTAAAACAAACTTGGAAGCAGGAGTGGCATCCATTTCCGAAGTAGCTTGCCTCCAGAAACTCACTGAACTTGGAGAAAGGATGAAAGTTATATATGTGTTCAGGTCTTTTGTTCATAGGGTCGCTATGAGTCATCTACAACTCAACGGCACAAAAAGGGGCTTTTTAGTATAAATAAATAAGAATACTCAAACTATGGTTAAATATCATTTCATATAGATTGCAAGATTTGTTTTTTTTGAAGAAAAGTTGCACTCTTTTTTTTTTTTCTTTTTTAAAGCATAGCCATTTCAGAGCTAGACACTCTAAGTAGTGGTTTAGAACCTTGATCAAAGTCCTTCATCAGTTGTGATCCATTTTTTATATTATTTACATACATTTGGCATATCATTAGAAATGGAATGAACTCAAATTGCAAGGGAGAAATGTAAGTAGAAACAGCCAAGCAGTAAACAAAAGGGAAGAAAACATATGCGTTGGTACTAAAGTAGAAACAGTACACTCCCTTGTCCTAAGCTGGGAATTTGTAAGACCCTTACAGGTGTTTAATCCATGATTTCTCTAATTGAGGTGTTAGGAGAGAGAATGCTTTATGGGATGGACAGTGTTCTGTGCATCGTAGGGTGTTTAACAGCATTGCTGACTTCTGACCATCAGATTCCAGTAACAGTCCTTCTCTCCATCTCCCACGCCAAATACATACACACACATGCATACAAACTTTTAAGAACAGAAACGTTCTCTAGACATTGCCAGATGATTGTTAGGATATAAGTGCTCTAAATTAAAAACCACTAATAGGTCATAACCTACAGATAAAATGTGTCTATTATGTATAATATAGAAGTAGAGGGAAATACGGATAATAGTGCTAGTTGTGGTATTTTTCATGGCCATTGCAGTGCAGGTGTATATGGTGGATAGACTGGAGTTAAGAGACAGTAGCATCTTGTGGAATATTCACTGGTAGAAATCTGGATACGTAATCTAGTAGATACTTAGCCAGAGCTTAATTTTAAAGTAATTTTTAATGATATTACTGAAATTTTTTTACTTTTCTTATTTTCCTTTTATATAAAATCCACTTGACAGATTTAACTGTTCTTCTAGGATAGTTCTAAGAGTTATATGAGATAGATATATCTAAATTTTTTATGAACAATAGAACACTATAAAAATATATTGTGTTAAGATCTCATATGTAACTCCAGCCAACATTTTAAGAAACACAAGGGAAAACTTTTTTAATTCCTACAGCTTTTGAAATGTTTTTTTCATTAAAATACAATATTAAAAAATTTGTTAAAATAATGTTTGGGAAAAGAATTATAATCAACATATTGCAGACTAGAGACGTAGAACCTCTCTCAATATTGAGACACAATTTTCCTTGGCGTTCTTGCGTTTCCGAACATCTTGTAAGAAAAAAAATCTTCCCAGGGATGTTCTTATAATGAACAACCTTAGGAGCTCTAGTGTCTTCTCCCTGAACAAAAGGTGGTGGTGGTTGTTAGGTGCCATTAAAGTGACTACCATTCATAGCGATCCTGTGAACAACAGATCTGAAACTTGTTCTATTCTGTGAACAAAGTATAGGCATAATCATTATAAAATATTTGAGATTCCTAGGCTCAGCGTTGTTGTAATGAAAGCATGTGAGCCCATACATGTCACTGCTGTGATATTTTTTAGTACAAGGAGAACCAGTGCAAATGTGCTCATTCCCAATGATGCTTGCTGTACAAGAAGGAATGAAGTCCTTTTTCTCTGACACATACATGTGCCCTGTGTCTTGTGGCAGGCTAACTTGTTAATCTGAAAGTTGAGTACACTTCAGGCATATTACATTTTTTTTGCCATAAACAGTTTAAAAATGTTCTAGTAATTGAATGATCAGCTGAAGTAGAATTTTTTAGTTTCTGGAATTGGTGAAAATTATAGAAAGATTTTTGATAGAGTCTAGATCCTGAACTAAAAGAGGAAGTCATTAGGATAATTCACTGTAAGGATTTAGAATATAACAATATCGTAAGCAAAGTCATCAAGCAAAACCTTTAAGATTAGGGATTGTAGACAGTAGTCACAACCAATAATATTGACATACTAATCGAACATTTGAAAATAACTTGTGCTTTTCTCTGATGCTAGCTTTGGCTGAACAATTTAGTTTGCCCCTGTAATTATTTTGTACCTCGAGTCAGAATTTCAGCAAGTTTTCAGAGGCTGTAAATTGCAGTAGAGAAGCTGGCAAATTCAGACCTCATGGCATTGGGTTGACGGCTCAGACTAACCCACGTAATTACTTTTCTTGTGTTGCTTGATATACTTTTTCAAGACTGCTGACCTAGGAGTGGCTTCTATGAAAGTAAACAGAAATATTTATTGTTAATAAATAAAATAATAATGCTTTTGTATGTGATTTCCTACAGGTATTGGTAAACAATGCCAAAACTTACGGAGACACAAGAGCATTGGAACTGAATCAGAAGTTGTCCTCACAGTAACAATGGATTATTTAATAGGAAGCAAGCAAAGAGAAAGCTTTAAGAAAGAATGAAGTAATGAATCAAGACTTTCCCCAAAGCAACATTTTCTTTAAACTGTAGTTTAAATTGTCAACTTCATTTAATAAGCTGAAATTCTTAAATTAGTAATGTAAATTTATATTAGCTTTTAATAATAATCTGTTTAATCTGAAAAATCTGATTTCAGAATGTTGATAAAAGAAGACTATAATTCCCTTAGTTCCTTGAAAATTATTTGTAAACCATTGTTTTTTGCATCTTCCATGACCCTTACAATAAGCAAACCCTTAAAATAAAGCCTTAATGGCATTTCCTAAATAACATGCAAAAGCAGATTGGCACAATATAGAATTTTCATTTGTTAAGAAATAAACAAAACAAAAAATAAATTCTTGCTATGAATACGTTTCAGTAGACCAACTTTTTGTAAAGTCCAAATCTTATGGCCTATTTTATTAGTATTTAATCATAAATTCTATTGAAGAACTATAATATGAATAAATCTTAGACTGCTAATGGGTTTGTTTATATAATTAAAAATACTCAGGTGTGTGGCTAAATTTAAAAAGATTAAATGGAATGTTTTGGACAGTATTGCTGACCATATTTAATCAATCATGCAATTAAAGACATTTTACTTTCTTAAATAAAAAATATTGTATTGTTTTCTTTATAACACAATATCAAATAAATGTAATTGCCAAATTTTAAAATCTAAAGGCAGAGTTATAAAGCTCCTTACATTTTTGGGGGGATTTGTGATGGCGTAGGTTATAGGGTTTTTATGCTGTTAAGCCAGGTGGTGCCTGGCTGATAGCTTGAACCCACTAGCACCTACACACGAGAGAAAAAAAGACAGTATCAGGCTTTTAAAACTCGCCAAATAGGAATGAATAGTGAGAGTTACTTTTTACATTTGAAGACATTTAAATTTAGTTAAGAAATGTTTACTAAACAAACGAATGGGTAGAGAGAAGCTGTGGTATATTTGCACAATGGAATACTATGCTGCATTGAAAAACAAGGAACTCATGCAATATTATTCAAAATGGGTGA